AAACTAAACCTAGCTTATTCTCTAAGCTACTACTAATTATTAAATAATAATAATAATAATAATAATAATAATAATAATAATAATAATAATACTTATATCTATTCTGCATCACCTGCTCAGGTCGATTCTCGGGGCGGGTTTGAAATCATGACTGCAACTAATCCATATAATGTTGTTTATGCAGCCTAACATTTAGGCATGTCAATTGAGAACTTACCTTCTCTAACAAAAATTCATTCAGATATTGTCAAGTATCATATACTTTAACATTTAGATATGTTAATTCAACTTACCTTTTCGAACAAAAATACATTCAAATATTGTCAAATATCATATATTCGTTTATCTATTTTTCTAAACTATTATGTATTAATTTAAAAGTCATTTATTTATCCAATTTTTTAAATTAATTAAAATTATAATTAATTTAAAGATTAATTGCTAAATAAACCTTGATCTTTTTGCGTTTGGCAATTTTATCTCAATCTTTGAGTAATTGCAATATAATCTCGACCTCAATTTACTTACTGCAATTCGAACCTAAAACTGATTTGACCTTCAAAAAACTGGTCGATTTGAAAGCGGTTCGAACAGATCAAAGCTTATATTTACCGGTTCACTCCAGATCTAGGAGGATACTCATCACTGGTAGCTTACATTGACGTGGAATTTTCGGCTTCGTGCATGGATATACCTTTAATACGTGGAAATTGTCAACTTGCTACGTGGATGGCATGAAAACCCGTGTCAATGGAAGACTTGGACACAAAATCGATCCACAAATCCCTAAAATCAATCACTCTGCACCCAAATTTGCAATAAGTAAGTTGAAGTCGAGATTATATTACAATTACCCAAAGATTGGGATAAAATTACCAAACGCAAAAAGGTTATGGTTTATTTAGCAATTAATCCTTAATTTAAAGGTATATATATTTTTTGAATAATCTAATAAAAAATGTCAATCTGTTAAACTAAAATACTAAATGTTCATTTCTATTTGGTCGTATCAGATTATGAGAGAATAAGAGAAAGAGCTAAACAATATGACTCGCGCACAACAACACATATAGGTTATGTTTGGTAAAACTAACTGATAGTTGATAAGCTAGCTTATAGCTTATTAGTAATTTTTGAGCTTTATAGCTTATAGTTTATGGCTTATAGCTGAAAAACTAGCTTATATGATAAAAATGTTAGTAAAATTAGCTGATAAGTTAGTTGGAATAAAAAATTCAACTAGCTTATTCAAAAATCTACCTAAAGAAACTTATCAAATAAGCTCGAGCTTTTTAAAAACGCTCGTCCTACTAAAAAAGGTTTATTTGAATACATGAAGCTTATAAGCTAACCAAATAAGCTGTAAACTAGCTTATTTGTCTACCAAATATGATACGAGCATTTATTACCCTGTTGGGGTCGGATCTAGGTGGTCTTCTGACCTGTCCTCCCTTTTTATTCAGCTGTTGGCTGCTGTGTATTCAGCCGTTGGCTGCTGTGTATTCGCACAGTTGTGCTTTTTTGATTTATAACATTTCTATCGTTTCAAAAAAAAAAAAATATGATACGAGCAGGAAAAGTGCAATAACCGTACGAGACAATATGAAGCACCTAAATATTACACTGCTTGCCATATTTATGACTAGCACAACACCAAACGGGATGTGTGACACGAATATGACACGATAACACGATTTTGCAACCTTGAAATTAGATTATATTATCTCACTCTCCGGTCCCTTGAACAAATGCTTATATATACACAACTGTCTGAATAACACCAAATGAAGAGCATGAGAAGAAATTAAGCCCATCAGCACTGGAGAGTCGGATGACTATGCAGCAATACCTTCAATATATGTACAAAGCTAGAGACAATAATGTACAAACCCATTTTTTTTTTATTTTTTTTTTTACATTACAGCATTAAACCACCGATTTTCGAACAACACCCATGTACTACATATGAAATAGCATATAACCATTTTCTTTTCCATTGCATAAACTAAAATGCCGAAACACGAGAATCAATACTTACTAGCCAAATGGACAGTTAAGCTCAGCTCATCTGCTTGAAGCACTTGTACATGAACCCAAGTGACAAGGCAGCAGCCACAACAGCAAGAGTGGCGTATGTATCCTCACGTTCCCAGCTTTCATACCAAGTCGGCATAGAACACTGCTTCCCTTTCCCACGGTTATTCCGAGAGCCTTGTTTTTTAGATTTTCTCTTCTTTTCATCAGCATCCTTACAATCCAAATCCCCCATCTTTTCTTGTAAAACGGGACTCTGACAGCAGGAGAAGCCCCCGTTCGCCTCACAGCAACTTGTGACATCCGATCGAGATACACAAGTGCTGGCAGCTATCATTTTTATTTCTTTACTGTCTTTCATGTTCCTATCTGTGCATGTGCCACCATTGAGCAAGGACCTCTGTTCCAGTGATTTTTTCTGGTCATCTACAGATAATCCCATCTGTCCCCTGTAATAGAACAATAATCGACATAAGCACGCGATTTTTAAAAAGTCGGTCATGCAAAATAAATAAGAGGGACCTCCAATGAATATGCATATATCCTTTTATAATAGTAGATATGGAAATCGGTTAATTTACCTCCACAGGAAATCCACAATTTCTCCTTTTCCGATATGCTGTTCAAGCAAAAGAGGGACATCTTCAGGCATAACGTATCCATACCTGCAGTATAGCAGTCACAAAGCTACCTGTTAATAAGGTTTGTTAATAAGGTTTGCTGATCATTTCTCTTAAGGAATGAACATCTTGCATGCCAAGTTATGGTGAGATTTGCAATTGTACTACTAAGTTTTGGAAAAATTCTCTTTCACATGACTAACTTTAACATTTTGCATTAAACCTCGTAGCAGCAGAACTGAACCTATCATGAGTCAACACAAAACAATAAGAGAAAATGCAATTAACCTTTTTTTCTCATAGAAAGGCAACCATTAGACAGATTCAAGAACCCTGGCCAAACAATTTCTGAACCACTTACCAATGCCCAGTCACTTCTTTAGGTCCGAAAATAATCACGTTGCCTGCATACTTATGTCCTCCAATGTGTGAACATGGGCTAACCGACACCTTCCCTTGTATGCCACGCAACTCTATCTCGTTCTGGAATTTACTAATGACAGATGGCCCACAAACACCACAACGTTGATCCCGTGACCCATGGCAGCATACAAAGATGTACCAACCCCTTAGAGTCTCTGGGCTTCCAGGCAACCATTCACCATCCTTCACTAGAACCTCCTCCACAAATGTGTCAACATCAAAATGCGTTAATCTCCTGTAATTTTAATCGATATCACAACGGCCAAAGCCAATTACAGGGAAGTTTAAGGGGTTCTGAAGCTTTAAAAGATTGAATTTTATGTTTGACCTGTATCTGATCATGTCTGGAAATATTAACACGTCGCCATTTGATGTCTCAGTCCCGTCATGTCCCTCACATATTGTTAGGCGAGTCTGGGTTAAAAAAAAAAAAAAGACAAATAACAATAAATTATAAGGATGATAAAAGTTAATGACCAAAGATATCTGTTTCTGTTTCAATGTCCAGAAGAGCATATAAAAGCACAAACAGAAAATATTATGTCCTAGTACTTGACATGAGCTACCCTTGTGCAGCACATCTACATACAAATAACCGGAATAACACTAATTTATACAAGTAGCTAGGTACCATACAACACACACACACACACACACACACACACACCAGAAGATAGAATATGATATAAGAGAGGCAATTATATTCATAAACATAATGTTCTAAACCCTAAACCTAACGCATCATGCGAATATCTCGGGCTTATTATACGAGAAGCAGTGACTTGCAAATTAGTGGAGATCCTACGAACCTCCTTCAGCACTCATAAACACACACAAATTGATACAGAAATAAATAAGAAATAACTAAGAACATGTCGAACATGTGAAACTGTGCTTCTTGCTTACAGTCGAGCTAAAACAAACGAAAGCGACAACAATAATATGCAACTTATACAATAGATCATTTCGAGATGAAAGAAAATAACGCTCTGCAGAAAGCATAGAACGAAAACATAGAGGCTTAATCTATTAAATAGCTTTACACACAGAACAGGCTTTACTAATTTAGTTAGCAAATCAACACTCAAATAGAAACAAGGTAAAATACAACAACCAGTATGCTGCATAGTGCATACACAATCGACAAATTACAAGAGACATGATTCTATTCTCAAGTAAATCAGGAAATCACAGAGACATCCAAAGGCCCAGGCTTCAAAATCACCTCATTAATCAACCGAAAAAGAAAAGAAAAAAAAAACCCATTTCACCTCTCGCTTCATATCAGACTTCCTAGCGGCCAAAGCGGCAGCGAGAATCCTGGGGAGGCGATCGAACTCAGCAGCCTCAATGCGGGGAGGCCAGACCTGAGGGTTCTTGTAGCACAGGAACACGTGGCGCTCGTACATCTCCACCGTCCCCACAAGAGGGCCCTGCCTGAAGTCGGGGCGGGAGAATCCGTACTCGGCTTCGCTGATAAGTCCGGGGTCGTAGCCGCCGCCGAGGAAGGCAGCGTCGTTTTGGAAGCTGCCGGAGGCGCTGCCAATTTGGGAGGCGTCGTGGAGGTAGCTGTCGGCATAGGAGACGGCGATCGGGGAGGAGGCGGATGATGGGTGGTGGCTGGTTAACAGCATAAGTGGGTCGTCGCGAGTGCCGGCCATCAAATGGATTTGACAATGGAGCAGGGCAGGGTGTGTGAAGAGTGGGGGTGGCTGGTGGGTGGATAGTGAGAAGAGCAAGTGGGGTTTTCAGAAAGAGTAGTTGGTTGTTTGGTGCGATATCGGTTCAACCATTTTTCTTTTTAATGCGAACCGCCGGTTTTCAGCGTGAATTTGGGTTCAAAGTTTTTATACTTTGAATCGGCGGTTCAACCAATTCTATCATAAACTTAGGGGGTGTATATAGAGATGTTAAATGGTCCTTGGCCCGACGGGTCGACCCGTTTAGCCCAGAAAAAACAGGGTTAGATCATTTTATTAGTAGCCCGTTTAAATCAGGGCTTTTTAGGCCCTGACCGTTTAGCCCGAAGCCCGCTAGGGCTAACCCGAAACCCGCCAGGGCTGGCCCGTTTAACTAGGGTTGGAAGGTGTAAATGTTTGCATCAAATAAGTAATATGCTCTTAAATTCTTATATATTTCTATTTTGGTATTCCATTTCACATGTAAGTATGAGTTATAATGAATTATTATGATTTTGAAAGATAATTATTAACAATATTGTTATTGTACTTCATACCAAAATATTTAAGTCAATCAAAACGACTAATAGAAAACACAATATTTTATTTAAGTGAATCAGGTAGGGGTGAGCATCGGTCGGTTCGGTCCGAAAACCGAACCGAACCGAAAAAACCGAAAATCGAAATTATATTACAATATAAAACCGAACCGAACCGAATAACCTTTAAAAACCGAATCAAAATTATCGGTTCGGTTCGGTTTTAAAACCGAAAACCAAAAATTATACATAAATTCACAATACATGTTCCACAACATAATAATTTTTATCGCAAGTTCTCTAAAATCTAAAATCTGATTTATTATTTATTTGTTGGGCTATGAAATTGGGCATACATATCTAAAATCTAATATTTGATTTATATTATTTAGCTATTGGGTTGGGCAATGGACCATTGCTATTAAAGTTTACTAATTAGTAACATAAATTCGGTTCGATTCGGTTAAACCGAATTTATTTTTTCGAATACCGAACCGAACCGAATAAACTGATTTTTTTAAAAAATGAAACCGAACCGAATTAGGAAATAAAAAACCGAACAGAACAACACTATTCTGTTCGGTTCGGTCGGTTTTTTCGATTTTATCCGAATAATGCTCACCCCTACAATCAGGACGACTAATAAAAAATACATGAAAGATTGAGAAAATCAATGGGCAATCTCCTTGGGCAAGCCCTAGATATCTCTCTTTTTTGAAAAGCAAAAGGGCGACAGGATAAAACAGTGCGATAGCGGGGTAAAGGTCGGGAGTCTTTGCGAATTTCATGATAAATAGAGAATAAATGCTACTCAACGTAATGAAAATCATAACTTATCTCCGAAAGCCAATGATTGAAATATAACTAAATGCTACTCAACGTAATGAAAATCATAACTTATCTCCGAAAGCCAATGATTGAAATATAACTAAGTCTTGAGCCCATCTCTCTGGAGACGAAACCTACTTGAATGCCATCAGCAATAACACACCATGTTTGAAGAAAGACTGAAATGCAATTTTAGCAGCACTTTCACATCTGGAAAAAAAAGAATAAGTTCGGGATGACCTCGGTTCGATGATCACCTCGATTTTACGTGACCGAGCCGGTTGAGTAGGCAAACCGGGATTATTGTAGACTATGTCGGTGCTTGTAATTAATCCCTCCAAAATGCAGTTTGAGGTTTGGTAGCTTCGGATTACCGAATCGGATGATAACAATAGTGATAGACAATAGATACTAAATGACCGTTAAAAATAATTTTTAACAACCGTTGTTATTTTTTTAATAAATTTTTTACTCTTTTTATTTTTGATTTTTTTTATATATTATTATTATTATTATTATTATTATTATTATTATTATTATTAATATTAATATTATAGCCCGCATAGCCCGAAGCCCGCTAGGGTAAAGGTTAGGTCTTTTTTTGGTAGTCTGTTTAAATTCAGGCTTTTTTGGTCCGGACCATTTAATCCGAAGCCCGCTAGAGCTAGCCCGTTTAACATCTCTAGATGTATACAATTATGATTTTTAATGACTTTTTAAGACTTTATATCCTGATATATTCAATTGAAATTTCTTAATACTTTTTAAAACTTTTAAAAATCATGAGTTAATCCATTGGATTTTTAAAAGTCTTACAAAATTCTGAGGTATTTTTAATTTATTTGACATTAGGATTTATTAAAACTTTTTAAAATTTGGTGGGATTTCTAAGTAAAAAACCTTATACGAATCTCACTTCAAATCCTATCTCCAGACTTTAAGATTTCATAGAATTCTTCCCAAATCTAAATATCCTAAAAAATCTCAAATCTTAAAGTCTTAAAATGTCACCTAAATTCCCAATTGAATACAATGTCAAATAAGTTACATAGCTTGTAACTTGTTAAGATTTTTTTGAAACACCAAATGAATACTTCATGATTTCAAAACGTTTTAAAAATTCCAAATTAAATACACTGATTTTAAAGCGCAAAAAAATCAAAATCGAATTGGAATCGAATCGTTTGCACTGACTTAAAAAACAACTACTATTTTGTTTCAACTAATGGATTTTGTAGTTGTTGGAATATCACTTGTGAGTTGTCTCACATTGATTCTATAGGATAAATGAGCCTAGTTTATAAGTCTAGTGAGCTACTCCTCTCATCACCAATTGGTTTTGGTATGGAACCTCACTAAGGTGCATCTAGGCTGACTCTCTTATAGTACGCTTCACATGGTGGGACCGCACTCTCTTCTCCCGATTCTAATATGGTATCAGAGCGGGACTGTCCTAGGACCTGCAATGACTCTCTCTACCCGGCATGCTCTGGGATTGGGCTTTATATCTCTACCCGGCATGCTCTGGGTTTGGGATTATAAAAGACTCACAAGTGAGGGGGCGTGTTGGAATATCACTTATGAGTTGTCCCACATTTATTCTATAGGGTAAATGAGTCTAGTTTATAAGTCTAGTGGGTCAATCCTCCCATCACCAATTGATTTTGGGATGGAACTTCACTAAGGTGCATCTAGACTTATTCTCTTATGGTGCGCTTCACTTGGTGGGACCACACTCTCTTCCCCCTGTTCTAATAGTAGTCATTGTAAGATTAAAATCAAAATTAATCTGAATCGGTGGTTTGTGGTTTCGTTACGGCCTTATTTTGTCATTTCTTTTATTGATACCACTTTGCACTATAAAAGGTTCAATTCCTTGTTAATTTCTCTACACCAATTTGTTATTACCATCTTCTCTCTAAACATCTGTTTGAACAGCCAAAAGTCATTATGAGGATGCTTGGATACAAAATTATCTCAAAAAAATCCAATCATTTTTAACTCAACTACTTTTTTTAACTCAATTTTAACTCAACCTCATATCATCAACCTTTTTCTATAATTAAATAATATCAACCAATCATTTATACACATCACATCAACCTTAATTCACTATTCATCCACTCACATAATTTTAACTAACCATCACTTCAACTTCTCTCTCTTACTTTTTAAATCTAATCAATTTTAATTATTTTATGTTAAATATTATTTTAATATACCCACTAACAACTAACCATACCACCTTTTTCAAAATTAACCAAACCAAACCAAAAAATCCAAACAAAACCAAAAAATTTTATATCCAAGCATGCTCTATACAACTTCCTCAACTAATTTTTTTTTACAACCAATTGGCTTTTTTAGCTCTTGAAACCGAAGTAAAAAAAGTCTTAAACGTCGTAAATCAGTAAAACGTCACGTATAACACAAATTACGGGAAAATTAACAAACAAAAATAGTATAGCGTATTTTACTGCACAATCAATGCTTGTATTTTGTGTTATTATGTTCGTAGTTTCTACTAATGATATTATCTTTATGAGTTTTTACAATTTAAAGCAAGTAAGAAAGTAAAAATGATCATGACTTCGTGATGAGTCATGAATACATGTTAATTAATGGGGGTCCCTTTGCAGGCAAATGCAAATATATTCTTTTATGGATGTAAAAGATTGCACCACATAATTTCCCGTCGAAAAATACAACCCCATAAACTCTTGTAGAAGCTCTTCACCATTATAACACTCTATGTCTTCACAATGAAGTGCAAAAGAATGCTCTATCAATTCGATAATACCTACATACAACAGATATATCATCTCATATACTCACATTCTTCAAGAATTGCACATTTTTTTGTACAAATATTTTTTCGTTACAATATTTAATTCACATATAATTTCGACGTCGTATATTACACTTTTTTTTAATTCACATTGTTTTGTACAAGCATTTTTTTTTGGTTATATTCACATTTTTTTGTTTCACTTTTTTAATTCTGCAATAATCAATAAAAATGCTAAAGCTTTCACTGAAAGAAAATAAAAATGCTAAAGAAAGTATATGTATTCACCTTCTATACTCACTCAAAAATATATTAATTTAAAAAATGCTAAGGCTTTCACTTACAAAATACGATGCTGCTAATTTTCATTGGATTTCCTCTCCATAAGCTTCTATTTTGTCCGATTTAAGTAAATTCGCGTAATTTGAAGAAATGAACAATTTTAAGTGAATTTCGGGTAAGTTAAGAATGGCTTTACAACCTGGTTCCACCCAACTAGAGGGATACTGCTTATCAAGTGAATAAATTGGGCTAGGTGAATAAATCCCTCTTATCCCTCTTAATATATTAACTTAAAACGTGTTGATCTTACGTGGCAGATTCTCACGCTTCAGATGCTGACATGGCGAAAAGCTATGCTTCGTATGTTGTTTTTATATTATTTTTGCTTTGGAGTTATGTTTGATATTAGACATAAATAATTTACACATATATTCATTAACTCAACACTCATGTTGTACATGAGTATTAGTACTAGTAGGGTATAAAAGAAAAGGCAAGTGAAAGAAAATCCCTAAACCATTTGCCAGGCTTTAATTGGCTGAATAAGAATAGATTGGTATTATTTAATTATATTGATAATATTGAGAAAAAATTTGGTTGAATTAAGTTTGAGTTAGATTTTGGGTTAAAAAGATTTAAATGATTGGTTGAGTAGGTATGAGTATAAGAAACTCCATGAAAGACCCTACCTAATACTACTAGGAATAGAGTCTTTTGCTGGAAAATGGTCAAAATGAGGAAGTGGGGGTAAGTCATATTTAACGTGACTATCAAAGAATTTCAATGTGCAAATGAACGGTCCATATTCTCAAACTTTTTTGATTTTATCAGATCTTATCATTTTTTTTGAAGAAATCTATGATTTTATAAGATATTTTTATTAAAAATTAAGGATCTCATAAACAAGTCGTCCACAACAACCCATTCTTTCAACCATGGTTGGGCCAACGGCGACGGCATTTTGTTGTCTCACCTTATGAGAGTGTTTTAATAGTAACTTGTTTTCTTTGTTGTCTATGTAATTCCAAGATGATATTGTCGGCGTTTTGTTGCCTCACCTTATGAGAGTGTTTTAATAGTAACTTGTTTTCTTTGTTGCCTATGTAATTCCAAGATGATATTGTCCAAGGTCCGTGTGATGTCAGTTGACATTTCGAATATACCTATTTTTTAGTTTCATATATTATTATAATTTGAAAAAGAAAATAATGGACCGATTTTAACAATTTCAAAGGCTTACACATAAGTCATAACCAACCAAATACCACAAACATGTATTTATTTAATACCAATCAGCTCGACATATGCCCAACCAAACACTACCCAAAAGTATGTGAATTTGATGGTGAATGCCCATTTTATATCTTGTAAATAAGTTGTTTTTCTAAAGCAAACAAAGAAAAATAATTAGTTATGAGAATCATTAGACACTTTTTTTTCTTTTTTTTTTTAATAACACAAAAGAATTTAATAATAATATATTTAATTAAAATGGACGGAGACGTGTCAGTTTCTCATTGGCCGAGATTTGGCAAACCATGTCACAGATAAACTACGCCTCTGCCACGGCGGGTGGAGGCTATAAGCCATCAACACAACACAACACAGGTAAGAACCCCGTCTCCCCCTTGGTAAAAACAGTTGAGTATTTGCTCGAAAATCTCGCCGGCGATCGGCCATTGAAGCTCATAATAAAGGTGCGATTCGTTTTTCCTTTCTCTCCTCCTTCAACTGCTTTTGAAATTTTCCCCTTTTCGGTTTCTTTTCTCGTTTGATTAATGCGCGGACGTTTACTTTATAGTTTTTGCCCCCTGTTGATTTTAACCAGTTCATCCGTTGATTATTAATTTCAGTTGCTATCAGTAGATTGGCCGGAATAATTTAAATAGAGTTCCCCGGAGTTTTTTATGGATTCTAGGGTTTTAACCTTTACAGAAAACCCTCGATATATCTTACTGAGCTGTTGATTCCTCTTTGTTAGACGTTGTTTACTTCGTCTGGGAACAGGTCTTGATGTTGTTGTGAAGTACTGAGTAGGTGCCATTTTCTTTCGGGGTTCCTCTGTAATTATCCCTTCCATGTTTGACCAAAGTGGGATTCCAAGTTTGAAGGATTTTGTTGATGTTAGGACATGAATGTAGACTGTTGATTAGTTGATCAACTTAAAGTATTGTTTCTATTTGGAGCTTGGGATTTGCAGAAAATAATTATTATGTAATAATAAAGATATCGGATTTATGCTATGTGCACAAATTTTATTGTGTCTTGAGTAGTCGATGGACAAAGGTAAATCAAATACTAATAATCCCGACCATAACAATCTTACGGCGCTGCTGCGTCAATAGCTGTCACATCTTTGTTTGCTGCATGAACTTAAAAGGAGCCTTTTCACTATTGAGTGCAGTGAAGATCTTTTGAAACTAGCTATTCACTGATTTTTCTCAAGTTTACATTTTTATAATCATTCTGTTTACTTTGAATCCTTCAAATTTAGCTAGATGTGTCTTTTTTTTTTTTTTTGGTTTGATCATCCGATTTATCTTGAATCTGTGTTCCGAAAGTTAATAATGATACTGTACTTGTACAAGTGTCTTCACTCTGGTTTAGAAAGTAAATCATTATGGCTGGAGAGACCTTTTCAAAATTGACTACATAATCGATTAATCATAAACTAGAAAATTTGAAGTTTTGACATACACGACAAGAGCACAACTTTTTTGCTCTGGACACTCGAAGTATTTACAGTATAGTAATATGGTATAAGTATAACGTACATGATTGAAGTTTGAGATGCTGTGCTTTCAGGGTCTTTTCTTTGCACACAATAACGTTACAAAATAAGGCAGCCCAATGCAAGTTGTATGTTGAAACTCAATAATAACTGTTTGGTTTACAACAATCCTGACTCATCAAATATTGACAATATTTTTATATGTAAAGTGAAAAAATGGAGAAATATGTTCATATGCTTCATCCCTCCTGTATAGCGTTTTCGATCTTGTCTATTTGCATGTTATATGGTTAAATTACTCCCGAGTCTGAAAATCAAGTTCTGCTCTTTGCCCATCCCTTTCCTCAATTTTTTTGATGATCTTTTGCAATTGGATGCAGATGAAGCTAGCATTATTAGTGGTGGCAGTATTGGTGATTCTCTACAGTTTTAAAGGTGCTTTTGGTATTAGATTTGTTATAGATAGAGAGGAGTGCTTCTCTCACAAGGTTGATTATGGACACACTGTGCATTTCTCATTTGTGGTGATTAAATCCGAGGGGTCGTGGCATTATAGTGAAGATGGTGTTGATCTTGTGGTAAGTTTTCGTGTTAAGTCCATGTTTTCATTGGCCATTCTTCAACCGTGTTCTTTGAGAACAAAGATTTGAAGTTTCCTTTTTAACTATTTGAATTCTCTGTTCCATTTTGAGATCTGTAATGTGTTATGAGTTTTTTTTATCCTTCTTTTGATTTTCTTTTTATTATTTCTTTACTTTCATGGTAAAAACATGGTATAGTTACTTGTTGGGTTTTTTTGGGGCGGACTGTTTATCAAGCCTTTAGTTTGACTATAGTTGTGGTAGTTATTTATTACTAGTTAGTAGTTACTGTGTTGGTTAAATTTGATTTTTCAAATTATCGTACACTTGAGTGCAAGTCGAATTTTGTAAACCAGGCTTGTAAAATTGTTAGTTGCATATTTTAACACATTGTTCGACAAATTAATGTGAATATTTAATATATAAGATAAAATCATATCTCAGTACATTTTGCTACACAATTTGTTGTAGTAAAATGTTTCTGGAGATGAAGTATAAAACATACGAGAATATGCTTCTAAATGTTATTATAATCTTGTATCCCGATTAAGCATTCTGTACGATGTCTAACACAACAATAAATATCAGGTGAAGGGACCAAATGGTGAGCAGGTCCATGATGTTCGTGACCAATCGAGTCACAAGCACGAGTTTGTGTCTTATCATCAAGGAGTTTATCGGTTTTGTTTCACGAACAAGTCCCCATATCACGAGACTATAGACTTTGACGTTCATGCAGGCCACTTCTTGTACCATGATGAGCATGCCAAAGATGGTGATTGTGCTGATCAACTTATTTTTGTTCATTTAATTTTTTTGTCTGACGAGTTTAATATCTTTTATTAATTTTTTGAACATATGCAGAGCATTTCAAGCCTCTTTTTGAGCATATTGGTAAGTTGGAGGAAGCTTTATACAATATTCAATTCGAGCAGCATTGGCTGGAGGCCCAAACTGATCGTCAGGCAATAGGTAAAACCGAGCAAAATTCGTGTTTTACACAAACCCATTTTCCTACTCACCTGTTTTGTTTGGATAATTTGTTTATCTTTAGTCTTAAATCCGCTGTTGTATTATCTTTTGGTTGGTTATCAGTGAATGAGAAAATGAGCAGAGGGGCACTTCACAAGGTGCTGTTTGAATCTCTTGCTCTAGTTGCGGTGAGCGGTCTTCAAGTCTACATTTTGCGACGTTTGTTTGAGAAGAAACTTGGGGCGTCCAGAGTTTAATGTTGAAAATCGGTTGTAATTTTTCCAGTTTTAACAGTTTTTTTTCTTTTTTTTTTTTTTTT